CGCCTCCAGCAACAACTCCTTGGCGTTCGGTCGCATCTCTATGAAAACATCAATATAAGAATTGAAGATCTAAAAGCCAATGCGTTAAGGCGACAACAGGAGCTCCCCTACCGAGTCAGGCGGGGCTGAGGCCAGCCCACACCAAGGCTTCCTCCAATACCAAGGGCTTGGCTTTGATGGTCCTAGTCAATCATATGCAGGTCATCACCTCGGCCTCCTCGTCCTTGTACCAAGGTGTTATCCTCTCGGCCACAAGGTCCGACTTTCCCCAACTTCTCTGTTTTGGTATTGTTAGGAAAATAAATAAAGTCTTCAGTGTTAATATCTCTAATTTTGATGAGACTGCTAATAGTTTTTCTTCTCGGTTGGTTAATTTGGAGTCTGTTTTAGCGCAAGGTTAATAAACTTATCTCGTGTGATGGAAGTGATTTGAACGACACCTTAGTTTTCTTTGGTTGTTGTGTTTGTGGATGGCAAATCTTTTATTGTGGCTGCAAGAGAAAGCGTAAGAAAGAATGGAAGCCCTTTGGAAGTGGAGCTGGGGGCTATATTAAGATTGTTAATTTTGGTTGTTGAGCAGGGATGAAAGAATTTAAGGGTATGTTTGGTTTATAATCAGAATTAGAATCGAAACTGGATTCGAAATCAGAATGGTCTTTCCATAATCTATTTGGTTCAGACAGGAATCAGAATAAGAATTAGAATCAGTTAGAATGGGATTTCATTTTTCAAGGGAGGGAGAGGGAATGCCCGTTCCATCAAGAATGGGAATGGCCGGGATTCCAATTCCAACCAACCAAACAGTTGTAATCAAAATAGCCCATTCTGATCCCCATTCGAGACCTCCATTCCCATAAACCAAACAGACCCTAATTATGGTTTTAGATTCGAAAGTGGATATCAATGCCTGTTCAGGAGTGGATCAAAATATCGGGAGAAATTAGATGATATTTTGAACTTGTCTAAGTTTTTTTATTTTTCTTTTATAAAAAAAAAAGCAACTATTATTGCTGACTGTACTGTTGTTCAGAGGGTAATATTTTTGTGTTGGAGATAGATGTACTGATAACCACCGTGTTGGTTGAAACAGTTGAGCAGTAATATTTTTGGGTGATTAATGGCTTATGTTCAGATTTCCAAAAAAAAATTGTCTAGCCTTTCGCGTATTAACCACTAACCTATCGATGATTGATCTCTACTTCTCTAGCTTTCCAAGGGAAAAAACAAAAAGAAAGCAGATATTTGATATCTAAAAGAGCCTTTGTAGACTTGTAGTTGAGTTCACATCCACTGAGGCTAAAAGTTTCCACCAACAAGGTAAGTGGCCCAAGTGGGGCACATGAAAACTTGCTCTCAAGTGTCATGTCTGCATCAACCCATCATATTTGATGTGCCCCAATGAAGTGAAACCTTAGGTTCTTGAATTTCTTCCAACACTACCATTACTGTCAGACACCAGGACTAATGGTGTTATAACGGGCCAAATCTAGGTCTTTTCACAAGGACTCTGAACTGGACTCAACTCAAGAAGGGCTCTTGCCTCTGGCAGGTGTTCCTCAACCGTAGCGAATGTTGTAGTTTCTCACCTGCTCTGTCTCGGCTCCAGCTGAGTCACTCAATACAACTTCTTGGGTTCTAAGTTCTAACCCATGTAGGGCCACATGCCCAGAAGCTCATCTTATATTTCTCTTCTCATAGTAAATTGTAAGCCTGACTTTTAAAGATATACTGCAGAGGGTGTTAAAAGTAAAAATATGCACTGGACTACTGTGCTTTTTGTTTTGAGAAGCAAAAATAAAAAAGCAATATAATCTATTTGTTTACAAAGAATATGGCAAAAATTTTTTTTTTCATACTTGAAGTCTCATGGTTGGATTCTGGAAGTTCTTACAATGTATATTCAAGGTCATCTATGTAAGACATGGATTGGCAACCCATGACATGACTCATCATGATCAATTAATTTCATGCAGAAAGAAGCTACACCCATTCAGAGATTTACAGACACCAAATGCTACTTGATTTGCCCAGAATGCATCATATCATCTGATTAGTACTCCTACAGCATGTTGCCTGTCTACCAAAGGAACCAATCCCCCCTTCTAAGCCCAGCAGCTTAGCTCAGACTCAGACCCGATTGATTTTGAATTGATTGGTATAAATGTATCATTGTGCAAAGAAAAGCTTTATCTGGGTAGGCCCCTTCATTTGTTTGAAATAATTCAGTCTTGGTTATCTCAGCCACGTGAAGAAATGACGAGGCAAATCTAAAATATCAAAGGAGACCCTTGGGATTGGCCAGCATTTGGTGCCCAAATCTACGTCAGGTTTTGTACCTCCTATATATTTAGTGGATTCTTCTTGGAATAACATCAGTTGTTTGATTTGAAGTTCCATGTTTCTTCACTTCGAAGGAGACTCAGAACTCAGAAAAGATGGTTTCTTTTTGACCGTACCCCATCTTAAAAATTTCATTTACCTTCCCACATGTTTCTTTCTTTCTTCTTATTTACTTACTCTGGGTTGGTGTTGTCAGACTCACATCCAACGAAATATCAAATATGGGGAACCTCACTGCTTCACTGATTTGTTAACATAAACGTTAAAAACCGGGACCCCAGAAAGATCGTTGGGTTACTTGTTCCACAGTGTCATCCGATCCAGATCTGACACCACTGTTTTGAGTACAAGCTTCGTTCAGTTGAAGGGTTAATAATTAATAAACAAGAGGTACAAAGGTCTGTTTATACCAGTTTGAAGTTTGAACACTGTCCAATGAATCCAACCCAAGCTTTTGGATAGATTGGACTCTATGATCCCAGAGTCAAGATTGGCGCCCCACATTCACATCTCACGGTGCATTGGGAACCATATTTGTCATGGGGAGATGTTTGCAATACACGGTTGGGATGTGCTGTGGGGCGCCTACGGTGCAAATTTGCTATATGATCCTAACCCCTTCTCTCTCTCACACACTATATAAGTATATGTATCTCTCATGTATAAATAATACATAAGTGCCTCTAAAACCAACCAACCCAATCTGTTAAGTGAATTCACATTTTTGCCTCACAGAGTCCGTCTCACAGGCCGGCATCCCACATGCACGTCTCTTCTCTGTACTTGTCATTGGGTGATGTTTCCAATACATCGGCGCGAATGTGATCTATTTAGCCAATTAAGTCTCGTAATTGATGCCCTTCTGTCTGGAATCAACCTACTCAGCGGGTAACTTCATGCCTGGCCAACCAAAGTGTCGTATGCGAAGTTGTAAGTACAACTTCTGCAATCAGACTTGGCACTGTGTTGAGAAGACAATTATGAATAACAACAAAAGAGTAGTACATGCAAGAAGGGCATGGGTTTTGGAGGTTGATGAGCTGGTACCATCTCAGCTAATGGCCTCGATCGTTGGCGTTGAGCTTCCTTCAATAAATTTCTTTCCTTTCAGCTTCAGCTTCAGGTAATCTCTGACAATGGTAAGTGGTGAATCTCAATATTCCATGCATCAAAAGCGTCTAATGGGGTCTGAATCTGAAACCTCTGGTGTCATCTCTTGATTTAGCACTTCTTCTTGAATGTTGTAGTCGGCATCAAGGAGAGAGAACTACTCCCTCACAAAATCACAACAATGCTTGTACTTCCTAGACTAGAAATCGGAAGCCTAGCACAATACAGGTAACAATTGGAGTAGCCCCCATTTTTCCTCAGTGAAGTTGAACACCCATATATTAGTGAACCAGGACGTTGCTAAAGGGAAGACACCTCATAAATCTTATTATTATGATGACATTGACACTCATTGTAAAATTCACATCAATAGTGTCATCAGCAAGAGAGGTTGAATGGTTGTAGACCCCATGTATTTTATAACTGGTGTGGAATGTTATAATTGGTTCTGCAGCCTGCAAATAGCTAATACTGTAAACAGGTGAGACCTTTTAGTGTATGCTTCCAATTTTAATATTAATGCTCAATTTGAAAGGATTACGAGTACAAATATGTACAGTGTAAATACATACAGAATACGACACAAGATCTCCTGCCCACGAAAACTCTGCCCACATCTACTCATAACACACTATCTCCGTGAATTGGGAACATTTCCCCCTGCATAATACTATGCACAAGGATGAGATATTCTCCATGTGTGGATGCGATGTTATGTGAGTAAACATGGGCAGAGTTATGGGCAGGAGATCCGGACTCACAAAATACAAGGTTTTGCACTCTATATATTTATATTTGTACTCCTTCCAAATGGAGCCTAAAGATAAAATTTTTGAATCATTTTTTAGTTCTAGCCTCTAAGAAACCAATAAGGCTAATAGAGCACTTAATGCCATCTTATAAAGCCTCGTATAAACTGAGGTTGTAGGTGGTTTGATTTTCCTCAGAATGATGGATCATAATCCTCATCCATCAACATGTGGCAATTCAGGACACCTCAGCATGAGATGCCAATCAACTGGTTCGTAAGGTCTCCTGCTGGTCGTAACAAAGACTTGAGATCAAATCCTGCCTGCACCTGGGTTGGGGAATGGGCTTCGGGCTACTCCTGTTGTGTAGCCCGTCAAAGAAATTAAATAAAAAAAGAATAACCTCTTCGAAAATAAAGTAATAAACCCTTTCGGCCTTCGCATATCTCGAAGTCATGAGGACCATGGTGAAACCCAACGCATCATCATGAGTTGGTGCATCCAGTCCATAGAATAGCAACAAGCTGGAGATGAATAATCTTCAGTCGCCCTCCCTCTGCAGTGCATTTATGCAGTAAACAGTTGAAGGCTGAGGATGACTTACCATGGGATGAGAAATGAGAATGTCTTGTAAAAGAGAAAATCTATGATACCGGAAAGACATGATACAGGAAGAGCTGATTGGTCATGAATACCACCTGATTGGTCAACTCTTTTATGATACCAGTTGATTGGCAGTAAGTTTTTCCAGTATTATAGTCGAACCCCTCGTCAAAAACTCAAAATACAAGCAAAAAGATGGACAAAAGATTTTATGTTTGTTGAATACACTACACGCATGCAGCAATGCCTGGAATTTTGTAACTTCAGATCAAGAGACAAGAGTACATTAGAGAATAACACAATGGAACTGAACTTTTACAAATATTACAATTTTTCTCTTAATGATGAGCCTAAACATGGGTTGCAATCTAAAAGATTTCTCACTCTCACTCTGGTGGATTTGCAAATGGTGTTTTGTGAAACACCCCCCCAAGCCAAAGATCAACGGTAGGTAAAGGAATTAGGCTAGGAACTAGACGAAGCATTCAGTGCCATTACCTTGCACTGTTCATTCATGGCCAACAGTTGGGCCTCTTTCTTGTCAAGAAGAGCACTTAGCCTAACATTCTCCTCCATCAATTTTTGGACTTCGGCCTCTTTCCGCATCTTTTCACCCTCCAAGTGATTTGTCTTGGCAACCAGCCTGCTTTCACAAGAAAACCATGTAGCCAGGAAAACATGTTTTAAAAGGAGGACGCAAGGTACTAAAGTTTTCACCATACCAAGGAAAATGATAAGAAATTGAAGTTCCTGCAAGTACCAGCAACTTATATTTTCTTTTAATGGTAGAATGGTTATAGTTGAAAAGTTCCAGAATAATCAAACATTGGCCAAAGCAAACTCTTTAAGTCTCTAATTAGACTACAAATACCAAAATCTTCCTAAAGTGCATTAAATGAATCTGGGGGAAGTTGGATACCATCAACTCTCCCAAAAAGAAACTTATTGGAGACATGTATAGAGTGAAGTGGCTCGAAGAGGTATTTCCTATGATATAGTTTTTATGCTACTTTTATCTTTAGATTAAAGTTCAGTTCTATTAACAGTATTCTAAAGGCAAGTTGACTGATACTGATAAAAAAAGGCAAGTTGGCTGATAATCCAGATGAAATCAAAGAAGCAAGCTAGTATATTCAAGATGGTACACGACTCATGCAACCAAATTATGAGTGTGCAAATTGAGGAAGTTGCCACTACTTAATCCTCTCAAGGTGTATATCTTGTTGGACATCCCTGATTATAGGACTTTGGGCTTTTATTCCTCTGGACACAAAAGTTATTATTCTTTATTCTCCAACCCCAATGCCCATGTATTTGCCAAAAAACAAACTTTGTTTTCATTGTTCTGCCATGGTATGCTTCCTTTTGTGGCATGTAGCGCTTGGAAAGATCAACATGTATATTCAAAATAAAAGAAAGGATTGGCCATCTTGCTTTCTCATATCCCCCAACTCCCCTAGTTTGAATAATGTCCTTAAATAGCTGGTAACCAGCCTCACATCTACAGAAGAAACAAGAACTATGCCATTTCAATAGTAAATTTCAGTTGGTTTGGGCTCCCAAGCAAAGCTCTACTAGAATTTCTCTTACTGTTCTTCACTAGAATCTCATTGAAATCCCACAGTCAACACTCTACCACCACTATCAGATAAGGGCTTCCCATACAGGTTGACAGACAGATCATGTTACTTTTGGTGGCAGTTATCATGGTAACCCAGGTTTAGCTGGCATAGGAATAGCAATATTGTCAATGCAATGAGGCACCAAGTAGTTGCTACAGCCTTCCTAGGTGATGTGGCAACAACCTGGTGCCTAGGTGCTGACTGGTAAACCACAAAATAACGATGCAATCTTACTGTACAAGTACGTGTATATGCATGCATATATACATGGGGACCGTACATTTCCACCTTTTTAATGAAATACATCACACTTGAGCTTATCAAGAAAAATGCATATATGAATATTTTTATATCCAATCTGATGCATAAGTTAAATATAGAATGTTAGTATACAATTAAAGGTATGATAATAGAACATTCAACATACCGTCTCTATTTTGCAAACATAAAGAAAAGTTGGATACGCTGATACAAGAAGCGACAGTATTTGTATTCCATAGAGTTGTTTATGGCAACTCCATACATAAACAAGGTTACCATAACAGATGACACTAAAGCTAAGGTGTTGTGATAACCTTGTTGACTTCATATGCTCTCACCCAACCACATGTTATCAAAGATGCTAGGCCTAAAAGTAATTGGCCTGCATAACAATCTGACGACATTGTAATTCTATTTTAAAAGCTAAACATAAACGAATAAAACTTTAAATCAGCTAACTGGAGTTGCAGATGACACACCAAATCCAAGGTGTAAATTCCCCTCAGAAGGGCTAGGATAGCAAGAAGATTACAAACTTCTTTAATTTTGGTTCTTGGACACTTGGCTAACACTATAATGTGGACCAAGAGGACTGGTTCTGGCTTTGGAGATGGGCATACTGTTTGAGTGAGATTAGAGAAATACCCCATTGATGGGTCCAATAATCACATTAATTGTAATTTTTGGGGCACCATACAATTTTCTGTCTGAACTCAAACAATCAATTTATTTTGTTGTGGAAGAATGTCAACCTATGACAATACAGAGAATTTCCCTTACCCATAAGAAGGATGATATACACTATGCATCACCTGCTCAGATGGAACACAGCTGTCCAGCAATCCAAAATGCACTTAAAAGTTTCATGGACTTTGGAACAAAAACATGGATGAAACATCTATTTTGGTTGGAGAACTAGTGTTACCTAACTCATGTGACATGGGTGCTAAAGTGTCAAGAAGTATCTGACGTGTCTACCTCTAGAAATTACTAATATTGGTGACATGACTGCAAAATTATTTAAAAATATATTGATAAGTATATCATATTATTTTGTTTGACTATTAACTACTACCTATTTCTGATAGTTATCGTCATCGTCATAACACTATAATTAAGGATGCATGTACAGAGGTGGCCCAGGAACATTATGAGTCAAATTTTCACTTTTATTAGCTAAGGTTAAGATGACACTGGTCACGTCCAAGCCCAAGCCCTAGAAACACATTATAATGCCCACTTAGGAGAGGGTACTTTGGGCCCAACATAGAAAAAGGGGTATGACTACAAAAATTTTTAAGTAGTAATTAAAGTTTATAAGGAATACCTTAGGTACAGTTTTTTTTAATCAGTAAAAATGTATCTTATTAAATTCAGATTATAAGCAGTTTATACAACTTGGTGATGGGACTGTTGATCCCCTATAATCATTCTATTCTACCCCTCATTACAGTGCAGCCCAAAATAATTGTTGTCTCAATGCCCCCTGTTTTGCTAATCCATCAGCTAGCCCATTTGCACTTCTTCGGACCCATTTAAATTCAGCATCAACCTCCTTTGCAATCTTCTCCACTTCCCTAATCACATGTTTAAACGTCCATGGGGTATGGCTGCTATTTTTTGCCCATGCTATTACTACTTTTGAGTCCCCTTCCACTTCAACATGTCTGCATCCTAGTTGTTTGGCTAGCTTTAACCCTTGTAGTAATGCCAATAGTTCAGCCTTCAGCGAGTTTCCATTGCCAATCGGTCCTGAGAACATTCCCAATATCCTCCTGTCAGAGTTTCTTAATATCCTCCGGTTCCTGAGATGCCTGGATTTCCAAAGGAGCACCCATCAAAATTCAGCTTTACTTTATTGCTTTTTGGTGGTTTCCACTCTAACCTTACTTTATCTCTTACTCTGGAAGATTGTGCTACTTCGGACCATGTTCTTAGAATGCCTACGACTGAGAAGACTTGAAAGCTATCCAAGGATTTTACCCAATGGGCTACTTTCACCTTGATACTATCAATCACTTCCTCTATTGTTCTACTTTTTTCCAAGAAAATTCTGTTGTTCCTCTCTTCCCATGTTACCCAGCAAATTGCTTCCTTTGTTGCTTTCCACATTACCATCCCTCTTTTCCTTCGTTGTCTCAAGAAATCATTGTTGAAGAGTCCTGCCACATCTTGAGGGGGAACCCACCTGCAGCCAAAGAGAGTACAAAAGAATTCCCAAATTCGATGCACAAAAGAATAGGATATCATTAAATGAGAAAGGGTCTCACCACTTTCCTTACACAAAGAACACACATGAGGAGAAAGGCAAATATATGGCCTCCTTTTCTGCAGCATATCACAAGTGTTTACCTTACCAAGGAATATTTCCTAACAAAAAGCATGGATCTTTGGGGGAATAGGCTTGCTCCAAATTTCTTTCACAGGGAACATCCCACCTAGAAGGTTAGGGGAGGCAAGTACTTTGAAGGAAGAGGAGCAAGAAAAGAGGCCATCTGGGAGGCAAGTACCTTAGGTACAATTCAACATGCTTGCTGAGAAACGGTTTTATAAAGCACCTTGAAGAATTTTCATGCAAGGAAAAAGACTACAAAAAAAATAGAGTTCCGATACACGAAAAATGTATAATTAGATGGTTTCGAATTTTTTCATCCGTATTGACCTCGTATCAGACCGTTTCGGGTATGTATCGGCCTCGTATCGGACTGTTTCAGGTATGTATCGGCCCATACAACCCGAAACGGTCCGATACGCACTATGTATCAGTCGAATTTAATTTCCCTCTCCTTTTTAAATTTAAATTTAATTTATCTCCTCTATCTCATTAATATCAATTTTAATTAAGCCTTAAAGTTTGAGATGTCACTAAATGCTAATATTATTTAATTAAATGCTCATTTGAGTTACCTTTAATTACGGCAATTAATATGTCTTTAAATGTTATTTAAGTCAAATAACTTGTTAAAAAGCACAGACCGAATGTAACAAGTTTTGAACCCAAGTCATTTTCTTACAGCAATAATTAATTAACCATTATGCCAACCTCAATTGCTTATTAAAGCAACATGTTTTTTTATTGGTGGATGTGTTTCCCAACAAATGCTAAAATTTGATTTGATTATTAATATTTATATAATAATAAGATGAATACAAATTATATTTATTTATTAAAAATTAAGGTATATACTAATTTGTATATATAATAAATATGTTGGGACCCAAACACTCCCCCCGAACCCAACTATGGGAGTGGAGCAGACCACGGCCCATCAGCAGTTCACAAGGAGACAGAAAGGACACGCGACAAAGCCCCAGAGTTAGTTACACTCAGAGTTGGTTACTCTGCAGCCAGAGGATATTCCCTCCATGATATCTTCCAGGGTTAGTTACCCTGCAATCAGAGGATATTCCCTCTATGATTACACCTGTAGGCCAGCTATATAAGGCCATAATCATATAATAAAAGGTGTGAATGAATATCCCTTCATTTTTCTCTCTCTGAGTCCATCCTCTTCCTACCTTCTCTTCTCTTCTTCCCCTTCATCTTCTGTTTCAGAAGGTTAAGCCACCCTCGAAGGGGCTTCCGAGGTGAGCGGTAACTCATCAAATTGGTATCAGAGCCAGGCTATCCAGATCGCAGGCCAGCTATGCCGCATTCCTCTACCATGGATGATAGAGCCGACCAGCTTGAGATTGGGTTCCACCAGGTGCTGAACGAACTCAGGGAACTCAAAGTGGTCGTCTCCAGCATCGCCTCTCA